CAGTTTTCCATTTTTCCACTGCTGTGATTCAGATATTGAAATGAGTTACACATTGATGGGTGGAGTTTGCAGCAGTGGTGCAACAAAATTTCATCTCAATAATTTAAACCCAGTTTTTCTTTAGACATCTCTCATTTTTATATTCAGCATGAAGGGAATAGGGAATATTAAGCAGGAAAATGCAAGAGCTGGGAAGGAGAAGAGTGTGACAAAAAAAAATATTATTCACCTAAATCTTGGCCCATGAGGAGATTTTTTGTATTTTGTCTTTACAAGAAAACTTGTGGATGGGCCTTAAATGTAAAATTCATGGAATCATGGAATGGTTTGGGTCGGAAGGGACCTTAAAGCCCATCCAGTGCCACCCCTGCCAGGGGCAGGGACACCTTCCACCATCCCAGGCTGCTCCAAGCCCTGTCCAACCTGGCCTTGGACACTTCCAGGGATCCAGGGGCAGCCACAGCTGCTCTGGGCACCCTGTGCCAGGGCCTCACCTCCATAACACAGAACAATTCTTGCCCAAAATCCCATCTATTCCTGCCCTCTGGCACTGGGAAGCCATTTTCCCTTGTCCTGTCCCTCCATCCCTTGTACAGAATCTCTCTCCATCTTTCCTGTAGCTCCTTCAGGTCCTGGAAAGTCACAGTTAGGTCACCCTGAAGCTTTTCTTCCCCAGGCTGAATAATCCCAGTTTTGCTCTTCTTACACCCTACCTCAAATTATCCACATATCTAATTTCTCCCTAATTTCCTAGTGCAGTGGCATGACTCATGTTCAAGACCTCACTTCCAAGTGATAATTAAGTAATTCCCTGATTGAAAATGGAGAACAGAATACACAGGGGATCAGTGCCCTGTTCCCTGCTGAAACAATTTTGCGTGATAGCACCAGCACAAATTAATTTTTAAGGTCCTGCCCCAGCCTAGCCTAAGTTTTTGATTTCCAGCTCTTAAACCTGCATTGTGCCATAAAAGAGCAGGAGAGTTTAGCAGAAATCTTAAGATCATGGAATATCTGCAGCTGGAAGGGACACACAGGGATCATGGATCCAACTGCTGACCCTCCCAGCTACCCGTACAATCCCAGCCTGTGCATCTCTGTTGTCCAAGCGCTCCTTCAGCAGCTTTGGGGCTGTGATCTGTTCAGTGCCAGACCACTCCTGAACCTTTCCCTAAAACAATCCTCATAAAAGTAATCTTCAGACCTCACTTCATCTTTTATTTACGTGTTTATTTACAACCTTTTGCCTTCTGCCCGTCAGGTAATTCATTTCCATCACCAAAGCAAACCTGATTAGCAGAGAGAGAAAACAAAACCAGGCTGTGTTTGCATTGCTCACTCAATGTCCCTGCAGACTCCAGGAAAAATAATGGATTCAGGTTTGATGAAATGTCTGAAGGAGATAATGAAAACGTGTTCTAACCTACTCAGAGATCATTATGTGTGGTTGACTCAAGTTCGGGAATATCTCCATAACAATCCTGGAATTTTTCCATCACAATGAATCTGGTGAAAGCTGCTGGGAATGTTGGTCATGACTTTATCTGCCCAGGGCCAGGTGACCACGAATGCTGCTGTGAGAAGGTTCCAAGTCAAACAGTGATGCCCAGTTTCCTCCAGTAATGAAGTGAGTCTGAGCAGGGCTTATATCATAATCAAGATGTGTCTTTGTAGGCTTAAGGCCATAATTCTAAATCTCCCTTTTCTCCCAACTAAACCACTCTTAAACCTCCTTTTCCTCCCAAGAAAACAACTCCTAAATCTCCTTTTCCTCCCAAGAAAACCACTTATTGCTGCAGCAGAATCCACATCTATTTTGCCAAATTTTTAGTACATTAAATGTTGATGCAATGGGGCTGATCCTGCTGGATGAAAATTTCTTAGGAACGTAAATAAAACCTTATTTTGTTCTTCTCCCTTTACATTTTATCCCCTGTTTCTTAAATCTTGTTAACTGTGGAGCTCTATCGGTCTGGGACAGCTGGAGATGGGATTTCTGGAATCATATATTATGGCAGCAGTTAAACCTTAATTCTATTTAATCCCAGGTTTGATTCCTGGTTTTGCCCCCAAAATGTTTCTCAAATCACTTATCTTTCCAAGCATTCCATATTTGTAGGTTTAATTAACCTTCTTAATCTCTGTGCTTATGTAGTCAATTAATTTTCCTTTTTTATGTCATCACAGTAAAAACTGGACAGGTTCCAAATTCTGACATTAAATCCTCACTACCCTGTATTTTGCATAAAGGTTTTATTTATCTTTTTGTGGGTGTGTGTGTGTTACTTTTGAAGTTCAGCAGACAAGGTTTTTACAGGTCTGTGTTTTGAGTGGATAATTATTCTCTGCAAGGTAAATTAACACACCCAAGTATGTATAGAAGCTATAGAATGAGGAATTTAATTTCCAGTTTTCATAGGATAGCTTCTTTAGAATTCCAGCAGAAAATAGAGAATGAGGTAGATAAAAAAAAAAAACAAACCCATACAAGTATTAATTTGTTTTTTTAAATTTTTAAGAGAAGATGACCTCTGTTCCATAATTTTTGGGGCATTTCAATGATTTATTCTATGTTCACTGTACAGTGTGTCCCAAAATGCTATAGGAGATGAATTAAGATTTGTTTTTAAAACTATTGTGGGCTTAATTCTTGGTTTGAAGAATATTTATGACTTTCTAAATGAAATTTTGTATTTCACTGAGCCTCTGTGCATAAAGGATCAAGATTATCTTAGGAACCAATCAGATCCCTGAGTTTTTTCCTGGAAGTGCCCAAGGCCAGGTTGGATGGGCTTGATATAATTAACAGTGCCCTGCCCATGGAACTAGATGTGCTTTAAAGTCCCTTCCCATCCAAACCATTCCAGGATTCAGTAATGCACATCCTCCCCTTGGTGCTTCATGTTGTATGCAAATGGGATTAACTCAGATATTGCAGCTTTGGGGTTTACTCTTGTTTTAGTGGCAAGGTTTGGTTCCTGCTCTACCAAATTTTTAGCCATCCTTGGGCATAGGTGTTTTGCTAGTTCCAAGTGGTGTTTGGCAGTCGTGGGTGGTGGTTTGCCACTTTTAGGTGGTTCTTTGGCAGTTCTAGGTGGTGGTGTGGTAGTTTTGGGTGGTGGTTTGGCAGTTCTAGGTGGTGGTGTGGTAGTTTTGGGTGGTGGTTTGGCAGTTCTAGGTGGTGGTTTGCAGCTGTAGGTGGTGTTTTGGCACTTTTAGGTGTTTCTTTGGCGGATTTGGCTGGTGGTTTGGCAGTTCTAGGTGGTGGTTGGCAGTTTTAGGTGGTGATTTGGTAGTTTGGGGGTGCAGGTTTGGCAGTCATAGGTGGTGGTTTGGCAGTTTTGGGTGCTGGTTTTGCAGCCTTGGGCGGTGCTGTGGGAGCTGTGAGCTGCTGGAGTTGATGTGATGCTGCATTGATCGGGAGATGACTTTCTATCAAGGCATGGCAAGGCCATCAGGGAGTTTCTGTCCCTGCCTCAAGGTGTTACAGGGTGACAAGAGGGGCCCAGAGGCAGAGCCTGCTGTTCAGCTGGCCTTGCCTCAGGAGCGGCTGTTGATCCTGCCCTTGGCCTCGCAGCCTGTGCCGAGGTTTTCCATCACCGCTGACATCCAGCGCTGCCATCCTCCGTCCCTGCTGCCCCAGGGCACCAGGGTTAGTGTCAGGAAAGCCAAGGCAGAGACCTTTGAAGAAGCTATGTCTCTTCTTTTCCATCCTTGCATTAGGATCCCTGCAGGGATCCTTCCTGAGGCTGGGATTACTTTGGACATCACAGGAAAGCTCTGCTGTCACTCCTGCTGGTGCCCTTTCCCATTCCCCACCTCCCACTGCTCCCCTGGAGCTGGGAGCAGCAGAGGACCCCATGGTGCCATCATTCCCTGTAACTTCCACTGCCAGCTTTTGGCAGCTGGATTCACAGCTGGATGCTCTTGCCTCCTGGATGTTCCAGTGCTGTTCAGACCACTTTATGTCATTCCTTGTGCTTTTGAAGGAATGTTGTCCTACAGAATGAAAAGTCATTTGAGGAACCTTTGTATCAGCAAAACAACTCCTAAAGGAGGAAGAGACAACAAGGCCATGTTGAAGAGGGCTTGGAGCAACCTAGGATAGTGGAAGGCATCCCAGGCAGGGGGTGGAATGGGATGAGCTCTAAGGTCCCTTCCAGCCAAAACCACTCTGGGATTTTCTTCCATGATTCACTAAAAGCAAATATATTCCCTGGGCTCTAATTCCTGGCCAAGTGTGTTTGATTGATGGTGGCTCACAACATAAATGGGATAAACACACTGCTTTTCCCAGAGGGAAGAGAAGAACATCCTCATGTCATTATGCTCACTGTTAGAATCTGGATCTAAAACCTTTTTCTCAAGGGATTTAAAGACAATGTGACACTTGGGAACATGGGTTAGTGGTGGCCTTGGCGGTGATGGGTTAACTGTTGGACTTGACCATCTCAGAGGGCTTTTCCAACTTGAATGTTTCCATGATTCCAAGTGTGTATCCATATGGGAACAGCTGCCATTTCCCTTCCACTTGGCTGCCATAGCCATAGGTGCACATTGACACAAACATTGCTTTCCAGCTCTGCACAAGGAGGGCTTGGAATGCCAGGCCTGGACATGAGACTTCCTGGCACTATCAGGGCTGTGTCCTGGAAAAGTGGAGAGAGGGATGGGAAATAAATAAATACAATTCTCTCATTACTTTTGCTACACAAAAAATATCTTCTTCCTTCTGCTTTTATAGAAAGTTTCATATATACCAACCCACAGAGAATAAACTCAGTCTAAATTAGGTTTCTTAATTTGTATCTTAAAATAAGTGCCTTGCAGTCTTCATGATGTTTTTTTACAGCCATTATTCTTCATTTCAGCTGTATCTTTCTGTGCTCAGAAATTCTTGCGTGTGTTCCAGATGTTCCAGTTCCCCTCTCCTCCTCCTGAATCACCTTCCCAGAGCCTGTGAGGAGGTTCCCTGCTGACCCTGTGGTTTTGCCTTGCAGCTGACGGCCGTGGACGCGGACGAGGGAGCCAATGGGCGGATAGTGTATGAAATCCTGGCCGGGGATCAGGGAGACTTCACCATCAATGAGCACACAGGCCTGATCACCATCGCTCCAGGAGTGGTGCTGGCAGTGGGGCGCTCCTACGCCCTCACGGTCAGAGCGTCTGACAGTGCCCCCCCTGCACAGAGAAGGTAATTAATGCATCTGCTAATGTTAGAGGCATTACTCCAGCAGCTCAGCAGGAGCACCTGTGCCTCACAGCCAGGTCTGTGATCCATGCTGGGATACAATTCCATGCCTCTGTTCTGGAAAAGTGGCACAGTAGAATTCTTGCCCTTTGTGGTCCTTAATGATATTTCCCTTAAAGCACTGGATTTTCATGATTTAATTTGCTTGCCATGGTCTGTTATTTAAAAGTTCCCAGTTGTGCTGGGAGCTGTGCATGTCCATTCATTGAGATGAAGGGATGGAAAGAAGAAAGTGAGTGAGAAGGGAGATGCTTTTTGTTCAGAAAATGCAAAAAGGATCCCGAAGAATGGGGTTGCTGAGCTGGAGATCCTCTCCAGGTGTAGAGTGTGCAGTATCCCCACTGATACTGAAACTCCTAAGGGCAGAATTATCTCTATTGTACCCCAGCTAAAAAAGAAGAGCAGACTGCAGATTGAGGATTTAGGTGGCAAGGGGAACATAATCATCTTTAAGGTCCCTTTTAACCCAAACCATTTTATGATCTGTATCTTCAAAAACCAGCAAAGGTATCAAGCCCTACTTACCTGTTTCTGTGGGGTTTGTGTTCTAAATGTGGCAGTTGTGCCAAAATGTTATTTCATGAAGGTGTGGAAGCAGCAAAAAAATGTCTCTTGTGTTCTGGGCCTGGTACTGACAATGTGACAATCTCTTTGTCCAAAGAGCATGATAGGGAGGAATAGGAGGTTCCAGCATTTAAACCTCCCACAACTGTAAAGTAAAAACTTCTTCAAATGGGAAACGTAAGAAGGAAAGAAAATAGGAGAGTAGGATTTCAGTAACTGTATTTTCCTCAGGACTGGCTGCTTCTATCATGTCTCTATGAAGGCAGCTCATGCTGTTGTGCACATATTTTATAATTACTGTCCATTCAACTTGCTAAGTTGTTCATAAAATTAGCATCTGGTAGCAGTCCCCTGGTTGAATTTCACTCTCTTTTTCCTCCTGCTTGCTTCTTTGATAAACCTCTCGAGCTGGTAGTAGGCTGCTGGTACTGCTGAGAAGATTGAGGACAATTATGCATTTATTTTGTGTAGTACTTCAGAGTGAAGGCCAAAAATCAGTAACTCCCCTTCAGAGAGTCTGGGATCCCTGTGGTGTGGCCCCACACTACAGCTCTGATTGCCATCAGCTCCTTTTGTGCTGGAGAAATCTTTGTATTGCCTAAACATAGGTATTTCTGAGGATGGATGTGGGGAGCCTCTGCTTCCTTCTCCAGAAATGTCTTCAAGGCAAGTATGAAGTGGAAAGCTGTGCCAGGATAACCAAGGTCACCTGGAAAGTGACTGGATTTCAGTCTCCCCCTTGCTTATGCACGAAACAAAACCCAGCCACTGAACCTGGCTCTGGAGCTGTAGCTCTGCAGCTTTTGTGAACACAAATTTAAATCAGAATTCAGAATTCTGTGTAGGTTTCTTGGGTTGTTTTTGCATGGAATGATGTTTAAAAATGTCAGTGGGTGGCTGTGCCACAACTGAGATTTGGGATTTGAGTATTATTATTTATAATAATTAATGTAAGTTCTTGAGATATCATGGAATCATTAAGGCTGGAAAATGATCCATCCAAAATCTATCTAAGATCATCAAGTTCAACCTTGTCAACTTAACCACAGCAAGTGCCACGTCCAGTTGTTTCTCAAAACCTTCCAGGGCAGCAGATTTCACCCCTTTCCTGCACAGCCCATTCCTATATTGAAGCACAACAATTTCTATTTTTGGAAAAAAAAATTCCAACATTTGTAAAATCAAACAATTTCATGTCAGACTTTAAGCTTTTCACAGTCCCTCAGATTCCTAGACACAGGATTCATATCACTTGGTGATACAGGGTTCTGCTGGATCAGGTCACGATGGGTTAGTCCACATTTAACGTCCTTTCCAAATCAAACTATTCCATGATTCCATGTGGAGATAATTTAAGCAGAGATGGTGATGGCAGTTGACTTTCAATCAGTTGATGGGGCACAAAAGCTGTTTGTCCATCCTGGAGTGATTTTGGGAGCTCTCTGTGGTTCCCAAATGCTGTGTTAGTCTCTGTGTGTTCACCTGCAAACACCAGCTGCAGGGTTTGACTTGGCTCCATCTCCTTCCCCTTCCCATGCCAAGGGGGAATTTGCCAGCTCCTTAACTGGACTATAACCCACACAAAAGACATGGGGGGAAAATGCAAGGTGTTAATAAAAATTGGATTGACATGGCAAAAAAAAGACTTAATATAAGAGCACTTTAAGTTTGCAGACTATTAGTGCTTTACTTCTGTGATTTTGCCTTAAATATTTGAAGAAAATTTGCTTACTATTCCTAGAATCCCGTAAAGATTTGGGCTGGGAAGAGACCTTAAAGCCCATCCAGACCCAGGGCAGGGACACCTTCCACTATCCCAGGCTGCTCCAAGCCCCA